TGGTAAGAGGGAGGCAAGGATTAGTAGATTCAAGGAACAAAACTCTGAAATACTGTGTTTTCACAGGAAAGCTGACATGCCTTCTTTTCTTTCCTTCCTTTTAGCCTGGCCAGGAGCTGGTGTACAGGCAGTTTCATGTGCAGGGTTGGAAACATGGCAGAGAAGTTACAGAGCATTTGCTGTGCCAGTTTTGGCCAACTTACAAGGCCAGTTAATCCTGACATGAAAAAGGGCAGCATCCATTGCATCCTATCCACTGAGTCAGGCCAACAGCTCTCAGTCTGTGTTTGGAGACCTTTCTCCTGGCTCTTTTTCCACAGGACTCCACAATAAATGGGTCTGGAGGATAAATGAATTTCTGTCTGTACTACAGCCCGTGTGTGATGTGCTTTGCATGTTCACCGAAACTTTTGGGGGAGGATTTCAACTGAAAAGGGCTGAAAAACCTTTGCAGGTGGCTTTTAAACTTTGCCCAGCACTTCTATATCTGGTGATGAAGGTTCCTGAAGAGCTGGGAGATGCCAGGGCTGTCCTGGCACTGAGGACTGTTCCTGAAGCACTGCAGGTTCCCCACGTTATTCAGAATTGATTTCGGATTTACAAAACCCCAAGGAGAAGAGAAGTCCTAAAAGTGGGAGTGGTTTGATTCCGGAGAGAAAAGCAGCTGGTGGATTTTGTGCTGGCATTGCAAGACAGACGTTGGGAGCACAAGTCTAGCCCATTTGGTTCCCTAAAAGGCTCTTAAATCCCTGCTGCAAAGAACCACGTGTATCTCTGTATGTGGTTCCTTAGGGAGTTAGTGGTGGTGTTTCTGCATATAAACTGTTGCCTGAGAGATAATGTCAGAATGAAGGAATTAATGTTTCGTGGGGTCTCAGTCTCTGAGACAGACAATTTTCCTTGCTGTTGCCAATGGGATTTTCAGCTATTTGCACTCGGTGAAGTGTCTTCAGATTTACTGAGTATGAAAAGGGCTCTTGCAACATTTAATAGCCCATAGATTAAATGGGAAAGCATCACGGTGATGGCTGGAAAAAACACAGGGCGCTGACGAGCGGACGGGTGCTTCGGCAGACAATAGGAGTATTATACAACTACTTTCAGCCTCGCGGTGCGTGGCTAGAGATTAGATTTGGAAGGACCTTCGCGACGCCGCTTTGACTTTGTCATATTTAATAGCGGCTAATTGTCGATCTGGGTGAATTTTCAGGGCAATTTTATACCTTTTTTTCCTACAATACCTAGAAAAGGAGGGGCGGCGCTTCCACCACCATCACCGGCATTGGTGGTTCAGTGGTAGAATTCTCGCCTGCCACGCGGGAGGCCCGGGTTCGATTCCCGGCCAATGCAGTTGATCTTTTCCTAATTTTTTTTTCCTTCTTCCTTATTTCTCCTTCCCTTTCCGCTTCCGTCGCGGCCGCCAAACCCTCCTTCGCCTCAACCTCCCCCTTCACCTCGCTCTTCCCCCTCCGTGTCCCGCCGGGCTGCGGGTGCCGGAGCGGAGCGGAGCGGGAGGAGCCTCAGGGAGGCCGCGCCGGGGCGGACAAGATGGAGGTGTAAGGAACGGGGAGGGCGGGGAGGAACCGGAGACAAAGCGGGGACACGGGGCTGCTGTGGGGACAGCGGGGGCTGCGGGACCGGGGGTACATCTCTGTGGGTGTGGGGGGCACATCCGTATGGGCCTGTGGGGTGTCTGTGTGTGTGGGGGGGGTCCATCCATGTGGGCCTGTGGGTACAGGGGGTGTACGAGGGGCGTGCTGCGCCTTTAGCCCCCCACCCAGCAGCAGGTTCAGGCGTTCCGGTACGGAACGGAGCGTTTTTATTTGCTTTAACAATCCTGCTCGGAGCAGCTGGTTGGCCCCAGGGTGTCGTGGCTCAAGCGTGGATCTCGCTGCGCTCCCTCCGTGCCCTGGGAGAGGTGGGACGGGAATCCTCTGGCAGCTTCTGGGAGAGGGTTATCCCCGGCAGCATCGGGAGGGTGGCTCTGTAGGAGCTGGACGTGCCGGAGAAGGGAAAGCCCGGATTCTGTGCCAACAAACACGAGAATTGTGGCCGGTGTTTCAGGGCAGTGACACCAGGCAGCGTGGTTTGCCTTTCCTGCGCTGACAGCGCTGCGCGTTTCCTTTTTGGGGGTGTAACCTGGGCACAAAACGATAGGATTTGACTCATTTTGAAGCCTAGAAACGCCTGAGTTCTGTGGAGCTCCTTAAACTTCGTGTTTATTTATATATATACAGTGCTGGTCTCTCAATGGGGGCACGGAGGGTGCAAGTCCCATGGGATGTATCAGCATCCCCCAGAGTCGGCTGAGCTACTGCAGGTCGTGCAATCCACCGATGCTTTATTATTATTATTAAATCTTCTATACTATTATTATTAGATCTTCTAGGCGTAAAATTCAAAAGTAGATAAGAAACATCTGTTGAAATAGGGATTTGTGTGACATAAGTCTTAACACGAGTAGCAGCCTTTGGGGAAATGAGTTGATCCTGTTGTTGTACACTGAGAAAGGTGCTTTTGGCACCACTAATAGTAAATCCGGGATGCTCCTTATACATCCACTTGGTTTTATTGCCTTGAGTATATTTTAGTGGTGCTGACTCTTTTAGTACCAAAAAGGAGGTGCCTCAGAGGTAGAAGATCTGGGGGCTGAAATCCTGAGCTGTTGGAGTGGAACAGTTTAGTCCATTTTGCACTTAAATTACTGTAGGAATTTAATCTTGCTCGTCTTTTACCTCCTGCCTGATATCTTTCACAGAGGGAAGTTTTGCAACTAGGAAAACTGCTCCAGGATTTACCCTGCCTGAACTGTTCTTAGAGAAAAGAACTCTCCAGAAAACACTGTTTTTTAAATATGCAATGTATTTGGAACAGTAGACTTAAAAATGTCAGTGATATTTGTAGAAGTGTGATGCCATATACTAAGATATTTTTTGATATATGCAGAAGGCCTCAAGAATATGTTGGTTTGGACTAAAATTTGGGCAAATATGACCTATTTAAAGATTCTGTAAAGTGTTTATACTTCTGGCATGACTATGAAAATTCTTTTCCTTTGTGCTTAAGTCTTAATCATAAAAATGAAGCACACTGGTTGACTTTTTAAAATATATGTTAGAATTCACTATTTAGAGGTTATTATGTAAAATTCCTTGTTTCCTAAATGTAAAATTGAAAGTTGTTTTGTGAGAGCGAGGACTGAAGAAAATTTTGTTCCTACTTTATAAGTTCTGCAAAAGTTTATCAGTTTATAATTTTGCTATTTCAGCACAACAGAATTTGTGCTGAAAGAGTGCAAAAACAATCATTGTGTTTTCCTTCTCCGTGCTCTTGACTTATAAAGAAATAGGGTGTGTAATCTGAATTATTTTTTTCCTCATCAGTCTTAATTCAAATTAAGGTCCCAAACTAGAGGCTTTTTTTTGTTGAAGGTCTGAGACTGACTGATTGTCTGCCCGTTGTCGGAGGTAAAAAATGAGTATTTTTCTGACTGACAAAGCGGGTTTGAATGAAAAAAAAAAAAAAAAAAGGAAGCAGTTGTCTTAAATAATTTAACTTCAGATTGATTCCACGGGCTCATTTGCATAGCAGCGTGTTTACTCCCTACGACCCCTTCCCTCACTTCAACCGAACCATTCCATACGTAATTCTCCCGTAGCATTATTGTTATTTCTAACAAAGAACGTCTTTGATCCGCGGGGATTTCTGCGGCCCTGGCCTGAATGCAAACATTCTGAAGACTTGCAATTTACCTAACAACAAAAGCTATATGGTTTGTAAAACATGAATGACGGCTCTAATGCGTGCCTGAGCTCACCCGCTGAGGTTTCACCCCCGTCAGCAAATGGAAGTTGAAGTTCATCTCAGCGTATTTTAGGAGGTCCTTTTCATTTAAAAACAATGATAGAACCTGTGGAAGTTTGTGGACTCGTTTGACTCGCCTGAAAGTGATGAACGGTGACAGTTCTATTCAAACGGCTGGCGGTGCTTAACAACACATTGTACCTTTTTTGTTCTTCTTTTTGTTTTGTTTTATTTTGTTTTGTTTTTTTTCCATAAGCTGCTGCGCAGACCTGAGAAAGGCTTTTTTTTTTCCTTTTGTATGGAAACTTTCTGTTGTGGCTGCTGACTGCTCAGCAGAACGTGCTGTTCAGGGAATATAGGATGTTCCCTGTTGGTTTTTCCTCTTTTAAAAATGTAAAATTACGATATCCAGTAGTAATAGAGGGCAGGATTAGTCTAAATATGTGCTTGGCTCTGCAGTCGCCCTGCCGGTGGTGGATAAGGATTCTTGCTTAATTGGGACTGAATTAGTGGGGAGGTGTGTTTGGTTGGTGGAAAATGTTAAAGAATTAGGCACATAAAAATGCAAAATATAAAGAGCAAATGCAGTAAGTTTTTTTACTCAGTAAAAAAATTGACTGATAAATTAATTTATCCATGTAAATTAGTACCGTATCTATGTCTATACACACACATATGTACAATGTACTAAAAACATAATTGTATTTTCTTTCTCCTTGCTCTTGACTTATAAAGAAAGAGGGGGTGTAATCTGAATTATTTTTCCCATCAGTCTTTATTGAAATAAAACTAGAGGCCTATTTTGAAAGGAAGAAGCAAAGCAATTTGGTTTCAGCATGTGAAATTGGGTGAGGGAGTAAAATGGGATGGCTGAGTAAAAGGAGTGTGTTGTACAAGTATATTATGATTTATGAGGTAACTCGTGCAAGATATAGTCTATATTTATGTCATAATTCTACTAACAATATGGAAAAATAAGGTGGCAACAACTTGGTGATGCAGAATCACCAAAAATAGATTTCTTGGGGTTTTCTTTTCTTAAAAAACTTAATCAAAATATTGTCTGTTCTCAGCAAAAAAAAAAACCCAAACTTTAAACAGTTTCATTTGCAACGTAATTAATTGTTTTCATCCTTCCTTTTAGAAAAGATGCAAATGCTGCCCTGCTGAGTAACTTTGAGGTAAGTTTATGTGCATCCTGGTTTTAAACCAGCAGTTTAAAGCTGTCACCAGTCCCTTGTATAATCTTTGGAAGCTGAACATTGGCAGTGGCAATCAGCAGGAGCTGTAAGGTGATTTACACCCTGCTGCATTTGATTTGTTTTTAAGGAAACAAGCTTTTTAAAGAAGATTTGGGGATGGTTTTGCTGGTATTGGGTATTGTATTATTATGTTGCTCAGGATAAACACTCCTAGGAGCCAGTGATGCACCTGAACCTGGAGTCATGAGGAGGCTGCAGTGCCCTGTCATAGCAAACAGTGAATATTGGCACTCACATAACAAAAAATAATCTTATTCAGAACTTATCTACAGCAGAAAATAATTTTCCTCTCTCCTCAGTAAAGGTTTTTTTTAAGTCAGGTGGAAAGAAATGTTGTGATCTTGTTGGTTTGACTTCAGCCAGGTAATACAAAGATTTCAGTGCTTTGTTAATTAATGTAATTTTTGGAACGGTTTTAATAACCCAAGTGCTTTGTTTTTATTATTTTATTGCTGAAGCTGGTTTTTTGTTGCACAGCTGTTTCATTCTGTTCTGAAATAAATCTTGAAGTGTTTTATCCTGAGATACATCTGCCTGTGAACAGCAGAGCAACCATCTCTTAGAAGGGCTTTAATGAGGTACTTGGAAAGAACTCTCTTACCTAAGAAATAGATGATACTATGTCAGCCAAACCAGTGTTAAGTGTCTGTCTGTTAAAAACTTACTATTGCAGTAAAGAAAATAGCAAGTATGGCTTTTCAGTGCTCCTCAAAGTGCTGATTCCTTTAAAACTACTGACACCTTTCCATTGGCTCCTCTTTCCAGCTGGCACAGCCAACATTCTCTAAACTGGGGTGATCCTTTGCACAGAAAGTGGGGTTTGACAGGAGTATTCAGGACTGGCATGTGTGTTCCATGCCTGCAGTTCTTCTGTGAGTTTGGAGTTGTCATTTTGTGTTTGGTTGCCACTGGCTGCATTTTCTTCAGCTGTTTGTTGGGTAAAAGTTCACAGCTCGAGTTTTGGGTTTCAGGTCAGGATTGGCAGGGGTTCCTTTCTCATGGAAGATGCAGTGTAAAGGAATTGCTGGATTTGTAGTTGATTGTGTTCATATTTCTCACTGTCTAGAAATGTTTGCTTTCTCATTTCTGTAGCCCTGTCACTCTGGAATGCCACTGGATCTGGATCTTGAATTAAGCTGGTTCAGAATGAGGGGATAAACAGCAAGAAGTGGTCTGTTACTTTGCTGGGGGTGTTGACTCTGGGTATACTGTGAAACCAGAAGCAAAACATCTGAAGAAATTTCATATTAATGTGGTTTAATACAGGAGTAAAAGAGTAATTATGATGCTGCCTGCATGTTTTGCTGCATGTCTAGGGATGATGAATCTCACTCCTGCACTGATCTTCGTTGCCTCATAAATATGAAGACAACTTCATTACATGCTTTTCAAGAATGTCTGCTTGTATTACCTTGTGATGAAATAGGGAGCTATTTTAATCTTTGTGGTTTAACACACCACAACACCATGCTGGTCCCTGTAACATTTGTGAATAACTCCACTGGAATTTATGATGGGATCGTTAATCCCGGGAGCATCTGTAGGTCAAGCCTTGAGTGAGTGGGTTCCTGACAGGTGGAGAGTTTACTTTTGCTATGCAGACAAGGTAAAAATGCATCTCTGTGAGGCAGGACATGTATCCATTGTAATGCTGTGTGTGCATCTGTCATAACAAATCCAGTAGAGCCACAACCTGCTGCGAGATGTTGCTTCAAGCATCACTCGTGTCAATGGGAGCTCGGTGCCAGCACAGCAGGGCATGACCCAGCTCTGTTCAGGACAGGAGATAAACAAGTCACATTCATCCTGGCAGCTTCTCCTTTGGGGCTCTTGGGTAACGTTGAACAAGTGCTGAAAATCTGTTTAAAACAGTCACAGTTATTAAAAAAACAATTTACATACCTATTCATCACTCTGGGGCCAAAACATCTGTCATTTCAATTGCTGAGGATCCACCAAAACAGCCACACTTTTTTTACTGTTTGGTTGATGGGCTTTTTTTGTTGATCATTTATGTTTTCCTGTTACAACACTTTCAGGTAAAATACTGTCAAACGGTGTAAAACACTTCCTTTTTCCCCTCAGGTGTTCCAGTTGCTCACTGATCTTAAGCAGCAGCGCAAAGAGAGTGGGAAAAACAAGCAGAGCTCTGGCCAGCAGAATCTGAACACAATCATGTATGAGGTGAGGAGCACTGTCAAAATCCTTGGCAAATTAGCCCAAGCTGGAGAAATTCACATCCTTAGGTCTGCATATTAATAATTCATATTAATAATTCAGTATCAAATTTCCCCTGTTAGGAAACACAGTAGAATATTTTATTTTTGGCCACTTTTCTGTGGTCACTTCATTCAGGTTGCAGGGTGACTGTGCTCTCAGGGTGGAGGCATGCAGCTCTTGTTATTAAAATATACCAGAAAAAGAATTTTAAAACACCCTGGGGTTGAACCCTTTAGGTTTTTTTTTCTAATTCCAAATATTCTACCTTTTTAATACACAGGGCAGAACTTGCAGACATGTAAGGAATTGATGATACCATGTAATCGTGATTTCAGATCTGATCAAACAGATCACATACTGCATTTTTTAGTAACAGAATTAAACTAATAACTTCCAACTAAAATAGATTATTTTAAATATTTATTTTTTTGGTCAAAAGAAAAGCGAAACCACGTGTACAGATAACATCAGCTGGATGCCAGACTGGTAATAAACATTCCACCTCTTGCCAGGAAGAACTCCTCAAATCACATAATACGAATATTAACGTTTTAAATACCTCAAATTAGCAACTTGGTACAGACTTGCAGTGTGACCCTTTGTGTCTGTGCTGGAGAACTGCACGAGCAGCACCGTGACTGACAGGGAGCTGAAAGCACTTTGCCCTGCATGAGTAATTCCACTGAGCAGTGAAACTGCTCATGTGAGTAAGATTTGGCCTAGGCTCTGGTTTTGTTTTAGTTCTGGCTTTGTTTGAAAAGGTACAGAGTTGTAATTCCTAAGCCTCGTGGTCAACAAAATAGGGGCTTACCAAAAAAATCTAAATTAAACCTTCGTGGAGACTGCCAGTCTCTCCCTGTAGCTCTCTGAAACAGCTGAGAAAGATCCTGTAAGTAAATTTGATCAGGATGCACCTTGAAGCTTTAATTGCCTTGTTGTGTTTTGATATGTTAAATACCCACAGGATGCTGAGTTTTGTTTGTGGTGGAAACCCTGTGTCTATTTTCTTTATATTTGCCTGAAAGGAAACCAGAATTTGATCTTACAGGGTTGTCTTTGTTCCTGCTGAGTGTGTCTTCAGGAGCTCTGTGCAGGCTCATAGCCACTGGTACTGAAATAATCAGATGAAGGGAACTTTGTTTTATTGTATATTTGTCATTTTTCATGGCTTGGAATTACCAAGAAACACCTAAACTGGAAAAGAAATTACTGCTCTTACCTAATTCTGTTACATGACAATATGATGATTTCATTTCAGTAGTTAATGGTGAATAACAACTTTGTCTCATCTGAGAAGGTCAGACAGGGCTTGCAGAAAGGAGATTTATCCAGCACCTTATTATGCTTTTAAATGTATTTCTCAGTAGTCCAGTGAAACTGGTCCTGAAATTTATGTTTCATCAACTCTCTCTCTGTTAAGCAGGATGAATTATCATGTGCTGTTGAAGCCTGTTTTCCCTTACCAAGCATTTTTAAATGAGAGCAGATTTTAATGGAAATACACTAAACATACATTTACATATTTTCTTGTAGCTCTTTTTTTTTTTTCCAACTCTCCATTTTGGGGTCTGATTCAAGCAACAAAAAATACTTCCAGTGAAAAGGCAGCTGTGAACTGGAATTTGTGTGGGGTTTTTTATCAACAAATTGGTTTTTTTTACTCAGGTCAAATTACATTATGTCTTGTCCATCTGTTGGATATTGTGTTGTTTTAAATAAAGCAAAAGTTAGCTGAGGTTAATGGGTGGTAACATGTAAAAAAATGGAGCAAAGATAAATTGTTTCAAGTCAGATAAACATTTCTAATAGTACAGTATCCTTTCAGATTTCATGGCAACCCACCTAATCTGTGAACTTCAAGAAAGCATTGCCAAATATGCAGATAAAGGATGAAAACAACCATAGATTAGAGAGCTTAAAGAGTGATTTATGGGTTGGCAGTGAGAGTATCCCTGGCACTGAGCACAGGAAAACTTGGCAGAGGGGAATGTGGGTTTAAGGATGAATAGGAATTCAACTTTCCTAAGTGCTTTTAAAAAAACAAAACCAAAACAATAATAATAATAAAAAAACCCAAACACACCACAGTAAAACCCCGAGCCTCATATCTTGGTTCTTTTTAAAATAGCTGTGAGACTATTTAATAAGTGATACTATCCAGCACAGCTGAGATAATTTCAAACCAAGAGAGCAAATGTCTTTGCACAAAACAGCAGGTGGGTTTTTAGTAGGCAGAGCTAAAACTCCTTCCTTTCCTGTGCCCTTCAACATGGAACAGGTCAGATAATTGTTGCTCCAGAGCCACAGGGGAATGGAATAGTCAGGGCTGTATTTCTCCTCTGGGTGTGTGAGGAGCTGGCTGGATTTGTGAGTAAGTATTATAATATATATAATATACTTATAATATATAATGTAGTTTCAACTACATGAAGTTGTAGTTACATGGTGCCTGTTTCTTACTTTCTTTCAAATTTCAGTGTATTCTTACTGGAGGCAGAACAATGTGAGTGACCTGTCTCATCTATGACACCACTGGTGAAGCAAATAGTAACTGTGAAATGAAATGTTCTTTCTTCCTTTGCAGACACTGAAGTACATTTCAAAAACACCCTGTAGGTACCAGAGCCCGGAGACTGTGAGGGAATTCCTCGTTGCAATGAAAGGCCATAAGCTGACCAAGTAAGTACAGATGTGCCTTGGAACAGAAGGATGAACTCATGGCAGTGTAGAAAAGCTGATCCCCATGTACAGTGTGATCACCTGTCTGGGTTTAACTCATGTGTTTTCTGCTGTTATTTAAATACCCAGCCAAACATCTTTTCCTTCAGTCCTTAATGCCACATGGATGAGGACTTCCTTCATTGGGTTGTGTTTATCAGCATATTTCTCAAACAAATTCTTGTCAATGTGTTGATTTTAGCATGATTTCACATGGTCCAAGCACAGAGAGTTCATAAAGGGCTTTCTGGGGAAGAAGTTGGAAGTTGTAAAAGGGTTTTGAACACAATAAGAGAAAACTCATCCCTGGTTTGTTATTATCTTATTTTCATGATTGTCCTTAAGCAAAAATGTATTAATTCCTAAAAGGCCAAAAAAAAAAAAAAAAAAGCAATAAGCAAATAAAATCCTGGGAAGGAATAAGTAAATAAAAGTATAGAAGTATGGGAAAGACTGTTACTCTTAATTTTTATGTGAATCTGTGAACCACAACTGCTGCAAATTGTCTCTCAGGGTTGGGCTCTCTCCTTGAGTTTAGGAAAGTAAGATGTTTGTCTTTTCTTTAGGTGCTGTTTGTCCACTCATATTTATATTTATGTACATTTCAGTTACCAAAATATTGTGTCAATCAACCTTCCACTCTCCCTCTGCAGTTTCTAATGAGGCTGAACATACAGTTCATTCTTATTTTGGGAATTTCTGCATAGAAAGAAGATTTCCTTCACAGTTGCAAGAAGACTCATTTTAAAGGGCATTTTTCCTTTTTGGCAGTGGTGTGAGTGGCTGTTCACAGTGCTTGAAACGCATAATCCTCTTGAACCTCTGTGCAGAGTGTGAGTGAAGCCTGTTGTAAATAGTCAGACCCAAAGGAATGGCATCACTGGAAATCTCCACTTGCTCGGAGAGCTCTAATGGCTCCTCTGATCTTTAAAGCAGAAAGAACTCACATTTAGCTGCTTCTAAATGACCCCTCCCTCACTTCAGACACTCACTGTGCTTTCCTTCCCTGCTGGAAGGGCTCCCAAGGAGTTTATCCCATGGGAAAGAGGCTTTTATTGATTTGGTTGTGTCACAAAAACAAATGCACAGTGAGAGTGTCTGGAGGGTGCAGTGCCACAAGGCAAGTTTTTACCTGGTCCAAAGCAGAGGGAGTTGAGTAGAAAGCAGATTGTCAGCTATTTTGTTGACTTTCAGTGCCCCCTCTCTACAAACAATCACTCACATCCAGGATATCAGGAGCTCTGGGGCTGCTGGAATTGCAGACACAGGAGTGCTGGTACTTGGAAGCTTTGTCATGGATATTGGAACTGGGCTGGTCGTGCTTGCTTTGGTAGAGCTAAAGTTGCCAGGTCAGTAGGTCAGTGTTTGGTCCTCATTTCATATAGCAATTGATGTAGTGGGGAAGGTGTCCTAATTATTTTCTGACACAGAGGTGTTGAAGCATGGAGAAAATAGTCTATTATAAAAATACTGCTTACTGGAAAGAGCTGGTGGTATGGCAGTGAAAGTGTCTTAAAACTGGGAGCAAAGTATTTCTTGAGTAAATAGTGAGCATCCTTCATTTCTGGTAACGAGAAACAGTCCTGTTTGAAGTGAAATAGGCTGGTTCTGTCTGCACAGGGCAGCAGTTTAGGAAGGCACCAGCAGAACAATCTGTCACAGCAAAAAGGCAACAGGAGTCAGAAAGGCAGAGTGGGATTTCTCAGAGAAAAAGTAACTGGATGATGTAGGTATAAAAGTCACACTTGTAGGATATAAAAGTCAAGGGATTTATTTTATGTTTAAAACGTCTTTCAGGTAGAATTTGACCAGAACCTCATTTTTAAGTCTTAGAAATAAGTCAGGAGAGCTCTGTTACCACATTAGATACCTTGACTGCAGCTGCTCCCCTGCATGGGATCTGCAAGACTGAAGTACTAAATAATTTGTCATAATAAGAAACTTCTAACTCCCTAGTGCTGAGATCTACCCAAATCCTCACCTTCCCACTCCTGCTTGTTCAGTGACCTGGAATACAGCCCTACTGCAAAGGTTGAAATAGTTACAAGCTTTAAATGAGCTTTTTGACTATTTGATTTTTTTTATGGATGCTTAGGAGGTGCCTTTGTGTTTAGGTATCATCCTCTTTGATATTTTCCTCTGAATCAGTCTGTAAGCTAAGCAAGAGAATTATTCCCAAGTCATTTCCTTGTGCATAATGGCAGAAGGATGAGAGTGAAGAGCCAACCACTATTTTATGTGGCAAATTTACTCTGATTATGGCTTATCAGAGCTCATATTGGGTGCTGATACCTTAGTTTTGTGAGCATCCTGTACAACTTCTACTTTGTTAATACCTTTGTCCTCTGGTAGGGAACTTGCTAAGTCTGCTTTTGCCACGTACTTTACAAAATAAGGAGCAGAATTGTTTGGTGTGATCCTGACACTTTTTCCATCTTCTAATCTTTTCCGTTCAGACACTTCAGTTTGGAAGTGTCAGAGCCCATCTGGCAGCCTCTTCACACCAAGACACAGGAAGCATATGGTGTGCAACTACTACATAATGCACTTTGTGCTAGAACCACTTAAAATAGTAATGCCTCCAAGGAAATTCTGAACTACCCTTTGGTTCATAACCAGGGTCATTTCAACACTGCTCTCTTGTTGAATAAATGAAGAACTAAAGGCTCTTTGATCATTTCCATTCCGTGGGATGGAGGTGGTGTTTGTATAAAAGACTTCACTAGAGATTTCATTCTTCCCTCTGAGAGGAAAGAACCTGCAGTGTTTGCTCTCCAGGACCTTCCCTGCATGATCTCTGTAGTGACCTTTCCTCCCACGAAGAGTAATGAATTCCAGAGTCTGTCTCTGCTGCTTCCTTTCTGGGTAAGGCACTCCAAGATGGGCCCTCTCCCTTAATCTCTTAGCTGGTCAGACACTGTCTGTGCTGGGAACAGCTCTCTGAAGATCCCTGATTTGATTTTAGATACAGATATGTGTGTTAAAGTTGGTGTCTGTCCTCAGACAAATCAATCTGGTTAAAGGGCATGACTGGCCAGAAACACCCCATCCTCTCAGGCTGCTCCCTCTGTTTCAAATTCCTCTACCTCTAATCAAGGGGAAAGCAATTAAACGGCGTCTTTATGCTCATAATTAGGCTCAGAAACTTCTTTTCTAATACAGGGCTTGGGAGAGAAGAGGGGGATTTGCAGCCCTCCCTGAAACGCTGCTGGGGGCAGGCAGTGGGACGAGCTGCTGTCCCTGCTCAGCCTGCGATTGCAGCGCTCGGCACTAGGCTGTGCTCGTGGATGGGAGAATGGCGAGGGAGGGAAGGGGAGAAACGGCAGCAATCGAGGCACAGCAGAGCTTTTAATCCAGGGAATTCTTATTTTTCCAGCCCTCCTTCCCCAGAGCCCGCGGGACTGACCAGGCAGTGCCAGGTCGCACAGGAGGGAGCTGACAGCGCTGTGCTGGCAGATGTGCAGCTCCTGTGAAAGCACCTCAGGTCATCAGTTATTGCTGATATTTGCTACTCAAAATACCAGGTTAACAGGCCAGCATCCATTTTGTTATGGGTTTTTCTCATTACTGTTACAGGCAGGAAAAAAAAAAACCCCCAACCTAAAAAGCAAATTTTAAATATAAATACTAATGTGTGCAAACAAACCTTTCATTTCAGAGTCATTTCAGAAGAGCTGCCTTGCTAAATGGAGCAAATTCAAAAATATCTAAACAGATATTTCACTGATATAGCCAGTAAGGTTTGGTAAAGCACTGTTTTCTCTTAAGTTTTCTTTATCTGTTTCATCAGTTATTTTGGTAAAATTGAAACTGTAGAACTGAGATTATTTTTTCTTTTAAATGAAAACCTCTGAACTGACATAGTTTTATTGTTACCTTGTTGAGGCCTCAAGCTTTGGCTAACACTGCAGTACAGTAAGCCATGTTGTACTTGGAAATACAGTATACCACTAGCAGCTAATTTTCCAGTTTTAGTCCCTGGAATGGCTTCATATTTTGTAAGGTAGGGGGAGTGCAGTTGCATGAAAAGAACATTTATTAAGCTCGAGCTCTGTAATTGTGGTTAAATGAAAACTGGCTCTGCTTGGGCTTCTTCCTGTTACTGATAGCCTATCTTGGATCTAATTTTGGAATAGCCAAATTCCCAATGACTGCATATTACTATAATTAAAAAAAAAAAAAAATGGACAGAAACATTACCCTTTTTGTCTTTAAATCAACACAGTCAGGGAAGTGTTGAGCTGAAAATCTGTGTTACTTTTAGAAAGTATTTTCCCTCATTCCTGCCAAAAACTACAACCTGTAGAGCATTAAAGGCTGAACGATTTACTTTGTAATTTTTGTCTCCTTCAGAGCTTTCAAAATGAATATTCAACAGCAAGGCAGGATAGTGCTTGGTTAACAATGATATCATTTAATAGACTTTACAAAGACTATTGTGTTTCCCTCTGGATTGATTGGGAATTAACCCTTTGATCTGGAGCAGAGTGGCTCCATTTTTATTTATTTTTTTTTTGCATTCAGGTAACCACTGTCAGCCCTCAGATTTCATCCTGGAGAAATGTCCTGGCTTGGAATTGCAGAGAACACTGTGATTTCACATTCTGGGGCTCCTGTGATCTGGGTTCAGGTGTTACACACTGAACTGCTCGGCTCAAGACCGCGGGATTTGACTCTGAAGTATTTTCAGCAGTAATAAAATCCGTGGTTATATATACAGCTGTTACTTTATGGTTTTCCTAGCAACTATAAAACATACATTCCTGGGGATAAATTTGCCTCTGCACAGTCACAGATGTTTTAAGGGTTGTTTTTTTTAGCTCTGTGTGCTGTGTCTTGGCACTGACACTGTTCTCTCCTCACCCAGGCCTGTAGATCTCTTACTAGAAAAGCAGCACGTGCTTGCTTTTATATTTATGTACAATCTAGGAGCTCAGTAGATAAAAAATTGGGCAACACCAGGACACCTAGTGGGAGGTTTTGGTTCAAATATAAATGCTGCAAGAATTTGCTCGCTGCTGAGGGCATATGATACATTTTGTCTTTAATTTCCACAGCAGAATGTAAGTGGTTTTATTCTTTTTTAGAATTGATCTACTGTAGCAATGTGCTGTCTGTGCTGTGAGTGATGTTAAACATGTGACAGTGGGGGGGAGTTGTCTTTTAGAACTGTTTTTTAGGATTACACTCCTGTAACCCTCCACCCTCACCTCCCACAGCAGACACTCTCCCCTCAAACACAGACCTCAGGCCCATTTTCTTGCCCATAACTGCACGCATTTTTGTCTCCTGCAGCCTGAGCTTTGAATGTCCCCCAAGCCCACTCCTCAGCTGGAAATGCTGCTCTTGGCTCTGCTCAGCCCCACAGCAGTAATTGCCATTTTGAGATTTCTCACCAGGCAGGTCCTGTGCAAGTCTGTGACACGGACCATTAACTCTGATTAGTGGAATCTTGCTTTTATGTGAGAAAATTACTTTCAGCTGTCACTCATCTTTTGTATGTGTTCTTCTCTTGAAAGAGCAGCTTTCATGTTCCAAGCAGTGTTACCAAAATCCAGTCCAGAGGAAATACAAATACGTGTGTTTGGGGGCAGTTAAGCTGAAAATGTTCTTCACCTTCTGTTTAGATGAATGGGACAGTTACCCTTTTTGTTTAATGAGTGTCAGTGTAACAGGCATTCCATAGAAAGTGTAAAGATGAATTTGTAGGAGTTGAAAAAAGTTAATTTTATTTTTTGGATTTAGTGGAGCATGAACTAAATTCAGGCTTATGTCTGTGCCCATGGCAAATACTGCAGTCAGGACTGATCCTGATGCATGTTCAGGCTTGCAGTTTGCCTTCCTTAAAGCTTATTTTTGATGGAATTGGGGTTATTCAGGTTCGAATTTGTGCCTGTGCTGTCAAGAAATTCCAGGTACACAGAGACCTTGATCCTGGCAGTCAGTTTTTGGTGGCAGTGTTAAAAAGATCAGTGCAGTTGCTGAGCTCCAGTTCACACCACTTACACTACTTTGAGGTGCTGAGGGCTCAGTCATCCAGTTTTCTATCACACCAAGGAAACTTAGAGACATTCTTGGAGTGTTTCTTTCAAGGGGATACCAAGATTTGGAGCCTTCTGGTCACTCCCATTTGTGATGAGCTGGAAGATCAGAAATGGCACAGGGGGAGAAGAGCTGGGACCAAACCATCCTGAGGGTCCCCTGGGCTGGTCTTGGTGTCCATGTGTGTGTTCTGGGCAAGCAGCAGGAGTTGCTGCTCACTTGGAACTCCTCAGTAAGCAGAGGGTAACCCTTTGTACTGCACACACAGGCTTGGTGTTTGTTAAATAACCCTGGGAGCTGGATATTTACTGGGCATTATTTACCCAAACATGTGGTGTATCAACGTGTTTGTGCACATCCTCAACTACAGTCAGTTCTCCCTTTGCAATCTCGCAATATTTTGGCAAAATAAAACAACTTTGTGTCTTCATTATCAGAGCAGTGTTTAGGTTGAGCAGCAAGCAACTGGCCTGGTACCAACTTTCAGATGGCAGTTACTGAATAGTTGGTTATTTCTCTGTGGAAATGAAACAAATGCATTGCTTACATCGTAATTGTATGTGAACATGGCTAAAGGTTGTTATGTTTGAGTGTTAATTAGTGTTCAGCTACACAAGCACCTTCATTTATGTAGCTTTGGGGTTTTTTGGCACCCTGCTGTTTATTCCTTCGTGATGTTCTACATCAGTTTTTTCCAGCAGGGAGCTTTGCTGATGAAAAACAGGCACGAAATTCTTCAGGTAACATATTTTAACGACTTGCAGGTTATCTCTCCTTCTTCTGTACACATTTTTAAAACTGCAGATCCCCTGAGTGGTGCCACCTTTGCTGAAATGATGTGTTGGAGATCCCTTTGGCCCTCCTGCAAAACTTATATCACTTCACTAATGAGTTATTAGTGATGTTAATGCTTATAAGCAAAAGGTCTTTGAGAATTGACCTTTCTTACTGTGTTCCATATTTCTTGTCTTCAGGAAACATGAACAATTCCACTAATTGATTGTTTTTTAGTCACGATGTCTAATTGGTTTCAGTTTATTTCTGTTTCCTGCTCTACCACTGATCTTCCTGTGACAAACATGGTGGATCTCTACCTGCTCTAAAATACCTCTGGATAAGTCAGGTTTGCCTTCTTTAGCTCAGGCAAGAAATGGCTTTGGCTGTTTGATGCTGTTTAGTTGGCTCTGAGGTTTTGTTGGCGAGCAATTTCAAAGGTGCTGCTTTGGAAAAGAAGAAGATGAGAAAATTGATTTTACGTGCTCTTTTGTAAAATTCAAATAATACACTTTGTCTGTGGCTGTGGTGGAGCTGCAGGATTGGACTGGGATGTGTTTTGCTGCAAAAGAGAAGAAAGACTTGTTTGAAAAGGCTCTGATCTCAGAAGTGGCATGTGAGTGTATGAAGTATGAATTCATCACACAGCCTGTCTTTGTAAGCAGGGCTCTGGGAGGAGGGGGAAGTCATTTACAAATAGGTGTCCTCAGAGAAACTTGTGTCTGTTTGAGAGGCCTGGAAACTGAGGCACAAACACAGACCTGGCCAGGGACTAAAAAGCAAATAACGCTGAAAGCCAGGACTGGAGCACCAACTTCTGCACCTCCATCGAGTGCTCCAGGCACTGAACCAGCCACTTCCCCAGCTCTTGAGGAAAAAGCACTAAATCTTTCACACATTCAGCTGAAATGGCCAGATTTTTGTTCAGTGAAGATGGTGTTTAATATCTTTACCCGTCCCTGTTCACTTCTACACGGGTGGGTTTTTTCCTCATTGACTCCTTGAATGACCTGCTTTCAGTTTTCAAGGATTTCAGTGCTTGTCTTCTGTCATTATTGAGGTTTTATTTCTGCCTTTTCATTAGTTATGACAGTAGTAGGTGGCAGCAGTTATAAATACCTCATCTCTTTGACAGTAAAGCAGCCAAGAGTGGTGCTCTCAGCTCAGACTTAAATCCTGCCATGCTTTCCACAGTCTCATGCTGTAAACATCAAGCTGCCAAATAGATCTAAGTGATTAGCATGGGGGAAAGAAAAAAAAAAAGGAGGTGTATTCACTGCTTCCCACCAGTAGAAACATATTTGGCTTTCATCCTTGGTTGCCCAAGAGCAAAGCAAACTAATAATAAGTAAATAGGAGGGTTTCTTTGAGCTTTCTGCAGTTATATTTAAAAATTGCCAGCTTTTCTTTTGAAGCTGAAAGTCATAATTAAAACAATTTTCCAGCATTTATAAAAATGATGGCAGAATAGCTCAGGGACTAGGTGGGTCAATTAAAAACTTTTTTTTTTTTCTTTTTTAATAAGGATTTTGGTTTTGTTGCCAGCAGGTTGGATCTAAAGCTGACAGTCAGCGTGTCATCTCTTTGGAGCTGTTTTCTGTTCTTTCAGGGCTGTGATTACACATCACAAACCCCTCTGGTGTGGCAAAGTTTGCTCTCAGCAGAGCAGTTGTCTTTGCTGAGTCACAGTCTCCTCTCTCCTCTTGTTCCCATCCCCAAGTGACTTGCAGTTTATGGGCATTTCAGCTGAAGAGGGTCTGTTGGATCATCCAAGCTGTGGCAATACAGGATTTTTCCTTCGGGAGACATCAGCCAGGAAAATGTGATGCCAGTGCTGCTCATTCTGTGTGTTCAGAGGGTAAATGAAGGGCCCTGTTCTGTGGGTGCTGCTCAAGTGCTGAATTCAGCCTCTGGACGGTGTGAAAGTGTGACCAGAGCAAGGCACTGCTCCTCACAGGCTTCTCCCGAGCCCCTGGGGCTGTGGATGTGTCCCAGTGCCTGTCCATGAACGATTGAGGGCTGCAGTGCCTGGGGAGGTGTTGGATTTCAGGGGCAGACGCTGTCAGAGGCCGTTTGAAACGAGATGTTGTCTCTGAGGTATCTCCAGACACAGGATCGGTTTCAACCTCCATCAGAGATGCCCTTTAAATAGTAATAAATTCCAAGATTTAGCTCTTCAAAATTGTAGTTTACTAATAGTAGTCTATTTGTGTTTAGTTTGGGCTAAAAGAACAAGCAAGTTGTTGCCATTTGGCTGATGGATTGTAGCTTCTTAGGTATGATCACTGTTCTTGTGGGTGTGTGTTCATAACAGAGGACTCTCTGATCTCTGATGTGCATTTCTGCACAGCCTTAACAAATTAACAGTGCATGTTAATTAATGCTTGTACAGTAATGGTCTAAATGTCTCTGCTTGCCACCTTGGACTAGAGGTGGCAACAGCAGCCTGTCTAAACACCCAAGAAAATACTCTGTTTAAAACACCCAAATGATGTGGATTAAACCACACTGCAAACCCAGTCAGAATTATTCCTGGCAGTGGCATTTCATGCCTAAGTTATCAGGAATGTATTTGCATCACACCAGTCAGTTGAGGGGATCCTCAAATTACACAGTAATGTGGATTGTCTTACCCTTTGCTTTTAACCAGGGCAGAAAAGCTCCAGCTGCTGAACCACAGGCCTGTGACGGCAGTTGAAATCCAGCTGGTGAGTAACAATGCCTCTGACTGTTCAAAGCTTAACTGGGAGCAGCTTTAACCTTGAAGATCAATTGAATAATTACTTTCTCATGGCCAGTGATTGAATATATCCCTTTATGCACATCTTTACATCCCCTGTTTCAAATCCACTCAGCTTCCTCTCTGAGACCTCCTGAGAGACTTGCCCATCTTTCTCTCAGGCAGATTCTCCACCTCTTGTTTGCTTCAGTGTCCGCTGTTTGAGATGCTCCATGCAGTCATTAAAGGGTAGTGACTGGAGTATTGCAACTAAGATTATATTTAAACTGGGTCTTTTTGCTGCTGCAGCTCTGTAATCATGTAACTCACTTTTTGACAGCTGCCATGATGTTGTTCTTTTGGTGGCAGAGTTCTGTCTTACACTAAAACCAAACGTGCTAAAAAGAAATTAATGACTGATACAGAGCTGTGAGCAGTGATGAAGAATGAGATATGGATGTGAACAGACTTCCCCATGGAAAGCAGCCATTGCCAATCTGTTAAGCATAATTCTGATGTAAAGAGGGATTGTCACTAAATAGAAAGAGATGATTATATTCCCGGAAGGATCTCCTCAGGAATCCCAAACCCCATGGTAATAAAGAGCTTGTTATAATCGGGATATTATTTCAGTGAAGGTCTCTTGCATTAAGAACATCTGTTTGCCATCTCAACCTGAAACCAAAGCGAGGAGTAACAGGATCATATTTTGCTGCAAAAGAGGGGGGAAGGATTAAAGAGGTACCAGTAGGACTATTTTTCCTCTGTAGCCACAGAATAGGGATTATAATGCTGAAGGCGTCTCTTGGAAGAATGTTTCTAGCTGAGGAATTAATGCTGTGTTTTGTGATTGAGGAGATCAGTGTCAATCATCAACCCAACCAAGAGCATTAAGGCTTCATGAGCTCTGCTTAGGCACTTAGTCATAAGCCCTGATGTGGAGTCTGTCTCGTGCCTTTGTCAGCCTCGTGTGCTCAGACACAGATTTATTTTATTGCCACAGACAGTCTCTTTTTCCCTTCTTTAAATGCAATAATCTGCTGCTGCTTTCAGGTGACTGTGTGGTTTTGTCTGTCTCTTCCCTCCTCTCCTTGTTAATCCTCCTTAGTTTCTCATTGTCTTACCTACCTATAAAATATTGAAAATAGTTTGCTCCTGTGTCGTGTTTGAAGTCCAGGAGGTAAATATAAGAAATTTGGGCCTTTGTATTAGAAGTCAGGTTTCTTTAGAGTGTCGTACTTTGGATATTCCAAGGTTTGTAGTGTCCAAGTTGGATAAAAGTCATTACTAAAACTTACAAAAACACAGAGATTTGGGCTCAGTGTCAGTTCATTATTTATCCAGAACCTTTCCTTAATGGTCAAAAGCAACTTGTGAAAAATGTGACATCCATACATTTGGGGTTTCACCTGAATTTCTGTTGTCATGGAAGTGCTGGGGAGGCACTTCCTCCTTTTCCACTGCAATTCCCCTGTAATTCCCAGGGCTAGTTTCTCCAAAACTACCATTACAGTGATCTGAGTTGGCTGGGTTGTTAACACCATCTTAGATGAAGCCTCCCCGAAATTGCAGGACATTTACTCTTCCATCAAAGTTCATCAAAGTCTTTTGAGCTCTGTAACTGCTGGGAAACTGCAGAGTGGTTTATTTAAGTGAAATCCAGAGGCTGGGAGCCTCAGCAAGGAAATGATTTTGCTGTTCAGTCGCTGTCTTGAGCTGTTTGGGGTTTTGGTGAGGACAGGGGAAGGAGATTGAAGCAGTCACTGAACACACAAAACCTCTGTGTTCTCTGAGTGTAAAATAATGCAGAGCAGGGGGGGCTGCCCTGTTTTCCTTTGATGTCCATGGGGGAGAAGATTATCCACACACAGATTTCATGCAGGCAAGTCAATTCACTGCAGCTGATGGATGGGAGGCAACCTACTGAGAAGTGAATATGAGGGTCTAAAATTGCCTTGATTCTCTTTCCATTGAACTTCCCCCTGCCTCTTAAAAACTTGGAGTTGCTCCTGGAGTTGAATCAGAGAGAAATGATGATGAAAACTTCTGACCAGTTCATATAATGCAGGCACATCAGCCTTCTTTTAAAAAAAGCTTTAAACAAAATGCTAAACAAGCCATATCTATCTCTCACTTGCTCAGAGAGTTTTGATGTCTCAAACTCGATGTCTCAACTCCATGTTGCCTGTCCAAGGAATGAAGTCAAATTTAAAAGCTCATGTGAGAGGATAGGTATATTTATTCTTGCTTCTTTCACCTTTCCAGCTTTTTAGTTTTTTACTCTCCCTCTAGTAAATTCCCTGGGTTTAGTTGTATGCAAATAATAAATCAGTTTTGATAAAATTACATTTAAGCTAAAACCCCAAATTTATGTTGTGATCTTTTGATCCCAGGGTCTTCTTCAAGTCTTTATGCACAAATTGGTGCCACTGTCCACATTTGTCTTTTCTAGACCGTGTGCCAGGATTTATTTTCAAACAACAATAGCAACAAAAGGAGCATGAAATTCTAATTCATACCCCACAGGGTAAAACACTGTACACATTGCAGCTATCTTGACCTCCTGTTTTAATCTTTAACATATGTTGTTCCTGGCTCAGTGATTCACAAAGGAGGAAGGAAAAAAAAGACCCTGATGTTCATCTCACCATGACAGTGGTTCAGCTTTTGCTCGGTGCTTGAACCTTGGTGGGGTTGAAGATTAAGCATCATCTTTTCTGATGAACAAATTGCTCCACGTTCTCCTCTCTGAGTGGAAAAGTGGATTTTAATTCTGTGCTTTTTAAAACCAGGTTTCCATCTCGGACAACCTTGTGCCTGTGTGCTCTGCACAAGCAGGCTGGCAGGTTCTCTTTTATTCTTGACTAGAAAATAATAATAATGTAGAGTATTCTTCTGGAAAATGGAGGATCTTAGAGGATTTGAACATTTTATTTTCTCGACAATATATTCTGCTTTCCACTTGGTTAATTAGCTCTGAGGGACATTAATCCAATCATTCAGTCTTTTACTTTATTTCTTTTTTGATGTGTTTTTTTCCTATTAGTGTGTTGGTGCTGAACAATTTCAAATTACTGCTCAAAGGAGGAAATAACAATGATTTTCTCATCAAACATCTACCTCCTACACTGGAGTTAAATTATGTGCTTGATTGCTTTGGAAGTGATCAGAGCCCCTATTTCCTTTATTACTGTAGTTTGCTGTTTATTTTTTAAATAGAACTCTTGGCTTATTATTCAAATAAACAACAGCTTTTGGCCCACAGGTTGTTCTGCTCTGTGATGCTGAGGTTTGTTCCCCACCAAATATTACTTGTCCTTCAGAGAGTTTCTGAGCTCTTTCAGTACTTTTTGAGGTTCTTCAGTGTGGCTTCATTTATTCTTCAACATTTGCACTGTATTGTCCTGCCTCAGGAAACTAAATCAAATAAACATTAACACTGAAAGCCTGAAGGAAGCACAGCAAGGATGATGAAGTTTCTTACACTTGGCTTTTATTTGGGCAAGCAGCAAAGGTATGGTTTTAATTAGGAAAAGCATGTTCCAAAGTGTTTGTCCTTGTTTCACCAACTGAAAAAAAAAAAATCACCAAAAAACCAACTAGACAATTATGTGTGTTTATGTCTGTGTTGGTATTTTGGGCTTACATTTGTACACGGTGCTGTGAAAATACAGATCTGCACATTTAATTGATGAACATACACTTTAATCTTTGAAATTGTCTTAATAGGCTAGCTGTTACTCTCTGATTTACCTCCTCCACAAACCAAACCTTTAAAAGCTTCTGGAAAGGACTTTCTGCCATGAGAATTCACCAGCAGGTCTTAACGTGACTCAGCGCTTCATGTAACTCTGTGATTGCCTTCTGATTTGGTAATTATGGTTGTTTTGTTCCTCTGAGAACTTCAGACATGGTGCTCAATTAAAAAAAATTAAAATGTGCAGCTGGGAAGGGCTGTGTGGAGACAGTAAAATATCCCACATCCACATTTGTTTCATGAGGGATTTGCCTTTGCATTCTCTTACAGCAGGATTCAGGGGCGGGTGTCAGATGCCTGTTCCATTTTCCAGGGTTAGAAAGCCCATGCAAAGATTTATCTGGAGATGAAGAGGAAAATTGGCATCATTTTCTTGAGCTATTCTCCCATTTAGTAAACATTTGCCTCATCTTAAGCTTCAAGTCCACTTAAGTTGGTTGGAGCTCTTAAATACTTGAAATTAAGCCCAAACATAAGCTCTGGCTTAGCAGTTGTATGCACAAGGTGCTTAAGCAAGTGAAAAATTGCTTATTGGATTTCTAAATAGAAGTAGCATTGCTCTCAAAGGTGAGCAGAACTGTGGCTTCAGCTGCCCTCTGAATACTTGTATGTATTGCACAGTTCTGAAAATCTGGCTGGTTTTATATCAATAAAAGAAGAGGCAACTCTGGCTACCCAGGCTTGAAAAGTAACTATGAGCTGCAGAGCGAAAGTGCCCCTTTTATTTTTAGCTGTAGGAATTTTATGCCAATCAAGCTACCAAGTAAAGTTTTCCTGCTTCCTTCCTTGATTCCTCCTTTGGTTGTGTCGTGTAGAGCATTATCTCTATATTGTTCAGAGCATTGGGGAACTGAGATGTGAAAATTGCTTCCTGTACGAGTATATTGCAATGGGAATTTAATAACTAACTGTTAGGAGTTTGGGTGAAATACAAGTTATTAGTGAGGCCTGCCTTGACTGAATTATCTCGACCACAGAGTTGCATTTCGTAGATAATTCATCCTTTGTGTGTGTATGAATGACACTGATGTGCTGTAGCGTTTGCTACCAAAAACCCTGTAGTTATTTTGGGATGGTTTAGACTTGAATGTCGGGACTCGGGAATTATTTATGGCGGAAGCCGCAGAGCTGACACGGCTCGCTGCCCTGCCCTGTGTTCATTTCCAAAACCCCTCTCTCAGCCCTGGGAAAGGGACATGCTTGTCTTGCTGCACATCAGGGTGCTTTTTAATCTATAAATTGTGTTTCTGTAGCGCTGCCCAGTTCTGTTACTTGCCCAAATCCCTGAATATTGAAAATAGGTGGGTCAGCAGCGCTTTGGTTGCTGATAGCCTGAACTTGGCACGTGGCACGGTCTGTGAGGGTGAGCTGGTTCCATTTGGGGCGTGTGGCACTGCCAACATCAACATCTTAGGTCATACACTTATTTCAAACATTTGCATTTTTGTTTTCCTTAGTATAAACTTTGCATTCCTGACTGCTTATGGTTTCAGTCTGTTGCTTGAGCACTCTCAGCCAAGTGCAAGTCCGAGGTTAGCAAGGCTTTTTGTTAGATATTTTTCCATAGATTGGTAAAGTTCTTGCTGGAAAAGTAGGTACTTGAATACAGTCATTTCATTTTGCCTCTTAGGCTTTCTCTTACACATAATTTCTCTTCTCAGCACCGTATTTTCTAGTGCTGTGGGTAGCATTTTGTCTTATAGTTGTAAATCAGAAGGCTGGGAGAACATCTGTTGAATGTAGAAAAAGCCTCTGGGTGACCTTCTGTTCCCCTTGAGATCTGTTTCCCTTTAGGACATTTTCATTTGTCTCTTTATCTACATGCTGTCTGTGCCTAATTTTTGAATTCTGCCTTTTGGGCCTGCTGCTTTGCTGCTTCCTCACTGCTTATGTTTTCATAAGTCAGGCTAAGGCTGTTTGTGTTTTTTTCACTTCCCTAAAGAGTGAAAAAAATCGATTTTTATAGTTTATGCTCTTGATCCTTTGAAGTCTTGAATGGTATCACAGCAAAATAACACTGGAACATCAACCTGAATAATCAGCTGTCTGTCCAGAGTGTGATTCCTGACGCTGCCAGGGCAGCCACCAGAGCTCATCTGTCACTGTCCAAGTCGTGTCTGCAGTTTGTCAGCCGGGCAGGGCTCGTGCTCAGCCAGTACAAATGACATCAGCAGGGTTGTTCATCCTGGGAGTTGGGGCATTACTCATTTAGAGTGATGTGCTCACTGAGGGATGTGCAAGAAAACAGTGATTAGATTCTCACATAAGTGTATTCTGCCTTAAATAAGAGTTGGTGGTGATCTAGAGCTCTCTGTTTTGTGTTTGTGTTCTGATTCCATCCTTGTGTTTAACTCTGTCTCCCTGAAGCAAGCACCTGAAGGAGAAAGTGTTCGGAGGAGAGATATAAATAGGGAGGGATAAAATTAAAATGGGTGGACTTCATGCCATCCAATAAATCAAATCTAAACTAGGCAAAGTGCCATTTTTCTGAAGATCAGAAAGGAGAGGGATATGGGGGACCCTGGCCACTAAGACATCAGTCATCCTGCCCAGACTGATACTGTCTGTCCAAAGCATGTGGGCTGGTTCTTTGTGTTTTCCTCTGCTATGGGCTGTCACCTTTAAAATTCAGTGTAACAGTAATTAATAACACTATAATCCAGTCTGAAAACCAGGCTGATAATCCTCTAAGAAACTTTAATGGCATAGGGAATCTGTAGAGTAATGTAGAGTCAGCAGGATTGGCACCAAGGAGTGGGTGTAGCATACTTTATATTACCATGGAATCACAGAATCCTGGAGTGGTTTGAGTTGGGAATAAACCTGAAGGAACATCTAGTTCCAACCTCCCTGCCATGGAGAAGGACACCTTCCACTTCCACATTTCATGGTGTGCTGTTGATGCTCAAAGTGTGCTGGTCAGGCTGCTGGGATGATCCTCTCTGGATGCAGCCCAGCAGGAATTACCTGACCCCCTGCAGTAGCTGCAGCAGTTCTCACAGAGAAGGAGGATTTTTAGTGTGTTTTTAGTGTATTTTAGTGTATTTTAGCCCGTGGAGTACAAGTGTAGCAGCTGGCTGGAACAAGAGCCAGGACTGTTGTTCAAGCCAGTGTCCTACAGTAGTTCTTGAACCAACAGTACTGGAAAACCACTCCCCTGGGAATTTCATCCTTTGATCGGGGATAGTCCCCAGAAACAATTGTTTGCACATGGATATTCAGTGTCTGCCTTTTGCTCCAGGAGTGGATTTGAGCTGAGTGCAGTTCCCCTCATCCAGGATCTGTGGATAATACCGGTTAACAACGATCAGATTGTGCAGAGAGGGCTTGTAGGACTCTGAAGGAAAAAAACAAATTAATTGAATGTACCACTCAGCTTTTCAGAAGGCAAGATGCATCTGAGTGGCTGACAGTTTATAGCTGGGGCTGATTAAACCTGCATTGACTTGGAACCATAATTAATATAAATCACCCCTCTTCAAAGGACATTTTAAAGGACTTTGTATAAAAAAGAAAACTCAAACCCCACAATCCTAATTGGTTTCATTTGCGTTTGAAGAGTTCTTCTGACTTGCTTTTCCAGTCCTCTGACAAGCTTTTTTTCCCTTTTAACAGCTACCTATAAATTAGGGCAGTTGTTTTGCTGGTGGCAGTGATATAAGAGTTCCCACAGCTCCACAGTGGGAGTAGGTCCCCAATTAATCTCATGGAATCATATAGTTGATTTCGTGACAGCGTATTTTGTGTTCCTCGGAGCTTTTCAAATGCCTTTATACTCAGGAATCTCCAATCTAAGCAAATTCCAGTGAAGTGTAGCTGCTGCAGGATTAGGTGGTTTCTTTCAAGGCCTGGTTACTTCCAGTCCAGGTGCCAAGGTTCAGGGAACCAATCTCAGAATATCTCATCTCAGTTCTCCCATGAAAGCACAGAAACCTGGGAAAACAGGTCTGGAAGGTGGCTCTGAACTTGAGCTAAATGAAAAGCCTGGCTCAAGGCGTGGATGTGGAGGTTGAGACTTGAGGAGAAACCAGGGAGGAAAGGCTGTTCTGAGTGTGGTGTGTTCCTCGTTGTAAGGAGAGCAGGATCTCCTTCCAGAGTGCCAGTTGTGGTGGTTAACAATGGAGCTCTTCTTCCTTTTTTTTAAATGTTGCAAGAGTTCTGCTTTGTAAAATGCTTTTGTGATGAGCTCAGGCTGTATCTTGCATCCATTGACAAAGTACTTCCCAATGAGGATTTAATGGTGACAACGGATTGTTTTTTGACCTGCAGATGGTAGAAGAAAGCGAGGAAAGGCTCACAGAGGAGCAGATTGAGTCACTTCTCCAGACAGTCACCAGTATTCTTCCAGGGGACCCAGAAGAACAACAGAGAGACTCGGCAATGGCAGTGGAAGACAAAGGTGACCAAGCATAGGAGGCTTCTAGACCAAAGCTGGCAGCAGTTCCAGAAGAGAATCAGCTAATATTTTCCTGTTTTTAACTTGATACCGGTTTAATCCTGTACTGGACATAATTGTAAAATATATTACCATTTTTATTGCTTGGAGGTGGTGAGGGAACCAATTGTTTACAAGGAAGCACAGAAAAGGCCACTATTGTTTTGCTGCTTTGTCATCAACAGGGATGGCAGTAACCGAGCCTGCAGTGGGGCAGCCTGAGAAAGCACGGGGCACAGGATCTGAAGCTTTTGTAATTTTTCATTGCCCATGTAACAGCTGTACATTTGAATAGGCCCATGTTACAGCTGGCAATGTTTTAATCATCACAGCAGTGCTGTAATGATGATTGCTTTCAGAAGCTTTTGAATGGCCCAACTGCCTCTCAGAACAGGGGCTGCAATGCAAAGCTGGCTTTTGGGGCTGTTTGGTGAGCACAACACAGAGAGGTACAAGAGCTGCTTGGGGTCCAGCCAGGCACTTCCAAGGAGGCTTCTGGCGTCATAGAAGTGAAAGGATCTGCTCTCAAGGGTGTCTGGCAGTCCCTCTTCAATAAAAGAGAGATCCAGATCACCAGTTAACTCAGCAAATCGCCTCTGACACCAGGGAGTTGGGCCAGTTTACAACAGGGAGGCTCTGGACTCAAATGTTAAAGCTCTGACTAACAAAGAGCAGAATATTGAGGGGTGAGGTGTGTATTTGCCCTTTGAGCATTAATTCCAATATTTATACACAGGCCAGTCACTCCTGTGAACGTGCTGTTGGTGGTGGAATAAATGAGTCAACACCGAGGTCCAGATCTGGCTTAGGAGAATGAGAGTCTGCCCTGGATGAGGCAGAACTTTCTGTGTACTGAGCTTTTGTCTGGTTAAGGATTTCAGGATCAAGTATTTAATGCTGAAAGCCTTGATGATTACAATAAATCATTTGTGTGTGTGTGAATATACACACAGAAAGTCAGGAGCTACCATGGCACTGCTTTTTGTTATGGCTGCAGACCATTCTTCTGTAATTATCATAAGGTTCTGGAAATAGAAGTAAAATTTTAAGTACATCCTGGGAATATTGTGAGTTGTAGACGAGATATAAGATCTCAAATCAGATATTTGACTTTTGTTCACCCCCTCAGGTCTGTCATGGTTTTATTTTGTGGTTTTATGCAAAGAATTTACGCTTTCTGAGCTTTAGTTGTGCTGTGTGTGAAAGGGACTGATAAAGTCCAGTGTCTGGGGGATTTGTGATATGTGTTTCCATGGTATTTAAGCTTCTTTGATGTTTGGAGAGGAAAGGGAATTATTGGAAAATGTTTTTGTTGCCTCTTAAAGATAATTTATCTTATATAAAATGCTTTCCAAGGCTGGAGACTAAAGGTGCATCTTTGACTGGGTAAGAGTAGTATAAGAGAGGGAAAGTCCTTGGTGGTTTTGTGGATACATCAATATGTATTTTTCTCCCTAAATATGCAAGAAAACAAGGAAGATAAGTGGATCATATCACAGAATGACATGCAATTAATTTTAAAATTAGCGTTTTCATTCACAGCAGTCACTGATGTGGTTTGACACGCTGCAACATTTTTATCTGCCCCTTTCTAAAAGTAAGTTATTGAAATACATTCTGAACTTATAAAAAGCAGATGGAACCAGATCATAAGTGTCCTTAGCCAGCAGGAGTGTTTTTTGGAAGGCTTTTTGTTTCCTTAACTAACCAGTTAGTCCACAATAGGTGCACCCTGACAGTTCTGGTGGAGGAGAGGAGGCAGCACCAAGGGGGGCTGATGCTCTGGGGGTGCAAGAAAGGAACGTGTGTGTCAGGCTCAGTCCCTACTTTTTGTGAAGAAACAGAGTCCTCAGCACCTTCTGAATGTTTAAGAAACCTCATTTCTTCTCTCCTCCTCACTTTTATTCTGTGTTGTGTGTTTGGGTTTTGGCAGAGGAACTTCTTTGCTCAGGGCAGCTCTTGTGCTCTTAGTGGGAGAAAGGGGGAATGAGCTGCCAGAATTCCTTTGCTGGGGAGATACTTTAAAACACCTGGGGTTTCTCTTTTCATAAATTCAAGCCTGAGAAGCCCAGATCTCTTTGGCTGGAGAAGCTTTATTAGAAGAAGCTTTATTTTATGGGGGGAGGAGGAGGAGGAGCTGCTGCTCCTACCTGGCTGTGCTCTGGTGCTGGGCAAGGGAAATAAAGATACTGGAAACAGATGTTCACAGGGAATGTTGTGGAAGATACAGGAAATCCCTCCTGATATGCTGAGCAGCTTGGGTGGAGGTCAGGCCATGGCAGAGCTGTGTGTGAGGCTGTGCCCACCACTGAAATGCAGAATTTGGCAAGCAGGGAACAAACTGCATGTGGTTTGTCTTTGTGTGACGTGTTCATTAGCTAAAGGGGTGCAGTCCTAGTTAGGAAAAGCAAACCCACAAAATCTGGAGTTTGGTTTTCTCTGGAAGCAGATTTGGTTTTCTCTGGAAGCAGGTTTGGTTTTCTCTGGAAGCAGGTTTTCCCCTGCAGCAGGTCCTCAGACAGCACTGAAGTTGTACATTGAAATGGTGTCCACACACAAGTAATTCATGCTTTGCTCTTCATCCCATTGGAAATTCGTGTTTTTTCCAGCTGGTGGTTGAAGGGGGAAGACTTGGTTGACCCTGTCTGAGGTGGGAGGTTGGACTGGGTGATCTCCAGAGCTCCCATCCCACCTCAGCATTCCTGTCAGTCTGTTTTCCCTTTCCCACACTTGAACTCAGGCTCTCATTGAGGGCTGGGGTGCAGCAGACTGGGAGTTCCTCCCTTGTCCCCCTGCTCATCCATGCCTGGTTCAGAGTGGCCCCTTTGCAGATGGGAGTTGGAGGCTCTGACAAAATGCAAATCCTTTATTTCTGGGATATACTTCTGGGATTATTTCTGGAATATCAGCAAAGGGAACGGGGCAGACTTGGAGGATTGCAGCGGGGTTTCATGTCGTGGCTCTGGGTTTATCAGTTGCTTGAGGCCTTGAAATGGGGATTTATGGAGTTGCTCCATGTGAGCAGCTGAGTCTGTTCCAAAAGAGGCTCCTCTGGTGTGAAGGACGTGTGCCAGGATGCTGCTGAGATAAGGTGGTGTTGCAGTTTTCTCTTGGATTTTGCTTAGTTGAAGCAAGATTTTCTCTTGAAATTTGCTCCATGGGCCAAATGAATCAGTAGTGCCTCTCCCCTGCCTTAAATTTGGCCCTGAACACAGAACTCCTGCACTCTGGCTGTGCTGGGCCCCTCTGCATCGAGCCATGGGTGAATTATCCCAACCCAAACTGGGATCATTCTGGATCCCGGTTTTTAAACACACCCATTTTTATTTTGTGTTGCATTTTCTACGACGAAACTTTTTATTGCCTCTGCCTCCCCAGGGTGGCAGCTCTGCCACGCTTGGCAACGTGCAAACAGCACGTTCTGAATCCCAGAAATTGCCTTGCTTCCTTTGGACACAGGCTTTGGAAGCATCAGTCCCATCTGGGAGCTCCTGTTGTTTGAGTGACTTATGAACCACCTCAGGCTTTGGCAGAGGAGAGTCAGGAGAGCCTGTGTGCACCTCAGCCTGCCCAATGTCAGGCTTTTCCTGCTTTGCTTTTTCATTTCTACCAATAACCAGCCCTTTCCAGCCTGTTCTTGTCCCAGCTCCCAGAGCAAAGAGGATGCCAGGCTGTTCCAAACAGAAGGAACAGGAAGAAGATGTTTCGTGCCTAAAAACCTGTCAGGTTTGGTTTTTTTTTTTTTTTTGCAATTGTACCAGTTGGTCTCAGTAACAGCATCTGGTTCCAATATCCCTCACTGATAAGGACATCTGTGGTTGTGAAATGTTCCTGGTAATTCAGGACTCATGGAAGTGTCTCAGTTGACTCCCACAGTTGGTGTTTGCCACCTCCAGAGCTTTCCCTGGGGTCTCCAACACCCATCCAGCAGAAGGAGGGTTACAGAGTGCCTTTGGAGCTGGACCTGGTCAGCCAGCTCTGCCACCAGCCTGGGGCCTCAGAGAGGTTGTTTCTCTTCCCCCTGCCTTGATTTCTTCTTTGGCCAAAAGCCCTCAGGGGTGCCAGGGGTGATCTGTGGGCTGGGCATTGCAGGGCTGGGGGTTCACAGCTCCCCAGGGACCTCAGGGTGATCCATGGGCCGTGGGTTCCCAGCAAGGCTGACGCCTGGAGCGCTGCCCAAGGGCCTGTTTAACATTTCTGTGCCTCCCCACGGATAAAAGAGCCTTTTGTGCTGACAGCTGGGAGCTGAGGAGGAGGCTGCAGCCCTGCAGTGTGTGTGGGTGTCCATGATGTGCTGCTGTGACCGTGACCCCGTCCTGGACACGCGGGTGTCCGTCGTGCTCGGGGCTCTGCTCCCAGCCGGGCTGGCCCTTCCACAGCAGCCCTGCTGTGACCATGTACCTGCATTTCTACAGTGGCCACTTGGAGGTTGTTCATTACAGGGATTTGAGTCTGGAATTTCACAGGGCAAGGAGCTGCCAGGCATCACAGGAATTACCCCCCCACGAGGGCACGTCCTGCGTGTGCTGCGCGGCGTCCCCAGTGCTCGTGGCAGAGGTGACGGGGAGCTGACCTGTGCCATGGAATGACTTCCCAAGGAAAACATCTGTGCTCCTGAGCTGGGCACAGGATCAAGTCTGAGGGTGGGGCTGAGCCAGGGAGCCAAAGGTAAGCATTCCCTTGCAGCCAAGTGCTGGCATCACAGGGCTGATGGCCGTGTCCTCTTCGGGGGACAGCCACAATCCCCAGAGCAGCAGTGCAGTTAATTTATTTCATGGTGAACAGAAGGTCCTGTTTCTTCAGGAAGCATAAATTTTACAGGTTTCCCTTGTGTGTGAACTGCAATTGTAGGAGCAGACCCTGAGCTGGGGCACGTGGATGTTGCTCTTTGGACCTCAATGGCATGGCAGTCACATGTTCCAGAGCATCCTGGAACTCAAGGAAAATGGGAAAGGAGCAGCACTCGGTGTTATCCCAGTGAGAGTTTGCAAAGGGCAACTTAGGAACACCAAAACTGGCCTTTCTGCATCAGCAGGGGGTTGGTGTTGGTAGGGAAGACCCAATTTGTGTCCCAGAGTGAAGGCCACAGTAGAGCTGCTGATGTTGGAGATGTGGGCAGGGACGTGGGGAGAGCAGGGCAGGGGGAGGCAGCTGGAAAGCCACCAGGAGATAAAAGAGTGGTGGGTTCCAAAATGAGCAAAGAGCCTCTTCCCTGCCTGAGAGATCAACACCTTCACCTGGGGAGCAAGAACCTGCCCTGGGGATGCTGGTCCTTCACCACCAGCTTAATAACCCAACACTCCTGACACTCCCCTGTGAGATCAGGGAATGGGATCCCTGTTCCCAGGTGAGATCCTGTAAAAGGGGAGAGGATTTGGATCGAGAAAGGCAGGGAACTGATTGTCCTTGGGGTGTTAAAGCTCTTTAAAACATTTTAACAGCAGCTTGGATGCATCCAGCTCCCACACACACCCCCAGAGGAGCCCAGGGAATTCTCTAAAGAAGCCCAAAGTACCTTTAAAACCACGAGTGATCATTTTATAACCATCCCAGAGTGAGGAAGCTCAGGTTAGCCCCCTTTCCAAAGGGCTGCTCTGGAGGCATGGATTGGGCTGCAGCCAGCTTCCCTGGGGGGAGTCGATGGCAGGGTTGTTTAGGTTGGAGCTGCTGGAGACGTTGACAGAGAAAATGTTTTCTGTTCCCACAGAAAGAAATCCTGCTGCAGAGTTTTTACTGAGCAAAAAGAAATGCTTGTGCTAAAAAAAAAAAAAGGGGGGAGCTGTGGCCAAAGCAGAACTGAAATGCAGAGAGCACTTGGGAAAGATTTGTTAAGCCCCAGAACTTTTGCTTGCCACGAGCAAGAGTCTCCCTGCACACATTGCTTAAATTAATTTACCTCTGCTTTAAGGAGCTTTATTTTATTAACTTTAATGTTTATAAAAACAACCATCTGAGATGCTGTTAAACTTTGAAGATACCTAAAATAAAGCCAGCCTGGAAAACAGCCAAATTGGGTGAGAGAACACCTGAAAAGAGAGAGGAAAGCCATAAAATTGCTGGGGAGGGCTGGGTGCAAACAGTGAAGCTGGGAAGGGACCTGCAGGGGGGCTCAAATAGTCCCAGCAGGGCTGAGTGCCTGGTGCTGCTGGTACCTGGGGATTAGAGCATCCTCTGCAGGGCTCTCCCAGCACCTCTGGCATCCAGCCTGGGGAGGAAGGTGGGTGAGGCTTCCTGGGAGCACCCACACAGTGCTGGAGCCGCTGTGCTGGCCACGGGAGGGTGGGGGTGGCACTTTGGTCACCTTGACAAGCTGCAGCCCTGAGCACAAAGGCCTGTTGTGAGCTGTGTTTGGAAGCCTTGGCGAGTGAAAGCCACCCCTGGAGGGGATGAATCCTCCTCCTAAGGAGCAGCTTTGCTGCCCAACCCTCTGTGGGCAATCAGTGCCTGGTCCAGCTGGGCTCCTGCTCCAGCTGTGAGAGGAGAGCTGGCAGGATCCCCCAGCCCTGTGCTTCGTGGGGCTTCATTGTTCATTTAGGAAAAGAGGGGAAAGAACCAAAACCAAGAAACCCCAACAAAACAAAAAAACCAAACAAGAACTCACCTCTTTTCTTGAAAAGCCCTTCCACCTCTCACCCCAAAACCCCGCAGCTGCCCCACCACTGCCCAGCCAGGATGGTGATGTCTGTTGTGAGCTGGGACATGGAACAGGGTTTTAACCTGGCACATCAGTGCAGGGGGAATGGGGAGGAGCTCAAACCATCAGTCCCAGCTGGGAACAAGTAGCTGGGTGCCTTCCCCACTGATCCATCAGCACTGGGATGCTGCAGCACGTCAGGAAACTCGTACATTTGTGTCTCTTTGCAGGGCCATTCCTCTGGCTGGGTTTGCTCCTTATGCACTGGCTTCTTTTTTTCTCTTAAAAAACAGCATAAAATACTCATCAGTTACTGGTCTTGGATTTTAGGGCATTTGCAGCTTCTCCCTGCCCTCACATCTCACCCCACGTCACTCCCTGGAGCTCCCCTGTCATGGGATGTCAGGTTGGGGGAGCAAATCCCTTTTATTACAGACCAGACACTGTCAAGAAATAATCATCCCAAAATAGAAAGTCTGAGTTGTTGAAATGATCCAGCTCAGCAGTGAGCAGGGCTGGGTGGAGGGGCTTTCCCAGCTCTTCCCACACTTTATTTATGCCTATGCTTTTATATGTAGTGAAATTTAACCCCTGGGGACATGTTAAAGGCTTTAAACATGTGCTCTGTTGGACCAGAGGTATTTTTGCCAGATCTAAAACGATCTTCAAGATTTTTCCTCCCTGTGCTGCCTGTCAAGGAGGGAGGGCATCAGCAGAGAGAAACCCAGGGGCTTTTATTGGCAGCTGTGGGTCAAGTGTCTGCTCTTGTTCTGGGCTGAGAGGGCTCTAAAAAAATGCAAATTTTTTTGTTAATCCCTTGTGTTCAGTTCTCTGAGTGCCCCAGGACACGACACACAGCAACACGTGGTGAGCTGCAAGACGTCGTGGCTGGACAGAAAGCAGGTGAGGCTGGGGGGAAATGTGCAGAACAAGCACTTTGATGCCTCTGCAAAGCATCATCCCAGTCCCCATCCTGATGCACTGGGCACCTGGTGTCCCTTATCCTGTGTGGAAAGTGTTTGGTGCCACCACAGTGGGATTCACCTTCCCAGGGCTTGGCCGAGCCCTGCTCCCCATCCCAGGGGGGCTCCAGAGCATCCCTTTCCCAGCCCCACCAGCTGCAGTGTCACATTTCAATCCTCTCTGAATCATTTCAAGACACAGTTGCTTTTTTAAATACTCTTCAATGTCATCTTTTTTTTCCCCCCCTTTTGTGTTGTCCATGGATTTCCTTACTCCAGGCCGTGGCTCGGCAGCGCTTCCTTGGGGTGCAGCAGCCGGAGGGAGGGAGAAGGATGCTCCAAGAACGCCCACTCAAAACCTAATGGGAACCAACTGCTTCCTCCCAGCAGGTTTGCTCCTTCCTCACCCAGCAAAGCCCAGAAACCCTCCCCGAATGCTGCTGCCCCCTGCCCACACCCAACATCCCTGAATGGGCTGGGGGATGGAAACACTGCTTCAGGCCAATGACAACATTTTCCCTTTTCCTGTGCAGCATCCTGCCCCCAGGCATGGGATCAGCAGGCAGTTGCCTCTTTCCCAGCCCAGTGGGGCTGCTCTGAGCAGGACAGGCCCCTCTGCCTGTGTGTCACCACCCAGGGGAGACCCCAGCAGTCGAAGCCACCGGAGAAGGCAGCTCAGACACTGGGGGTGTTGCACTGGAAATGGCCCTAAAATGTTCCTCATTCTCCAAAAAGCTGATGGAGGGCAGGCAACTCGTCCCTGCCTGGTGCTGGGGTTGTCCCAGCCATGCCAGCTGCCTGCAGCAGGATCATTGCTGCCCCATCTGGGAAACCACCAGCTTTGGTGGGAGGAGATGGGATGTGCAGCCTCAGAGTGTTCACCCCAAAACCTATGAGTGACTCTTCAAATGCTGCTTCTTACATGATTCAGCCTCCCAGTGCTGCTTCTTCCTCTTTGGACTCTGCATTTTGAGCTTTTCCCAGTCTTTTCCCCTGCCTTTCCACAGCTTCAGCGCTGGAGCCTTCGCTCTAGTGCCAACTGAGCTGGTTGGATCAGGCCAGGAGCGGAGGCTCCAAGGAAAACCATAAATATTGTGGGCCCAGTGATGAAGCAGGGAGCTGGCAGGAGGGGAGGGAGGCTGAGGATTCGGCCTTTTCTGCTGGAGCCTCAGCAGAGCCCAATAGTTAATCATTAAAATATGCTTATGTGTAACTAATCTCCGCAGGACAATGAACTGAGAAATTATTTAATGCAATTTAAATGGGTCATAGTAGTTGCTATAATAAGTGTGTCCCGAGCCAATGGGAGCCATCAGGCTCCTATAAAAGCGGGTGGGGAAGAAATAGCAGCTGGTGGGAAGAGCTCACCAAAGACCCGATGCGTGTCCTGAGCTGCCTCCGGCCCTGCCGAGGTCCTCCCGGTCCGCCCCAAATCAGGCTCGAGCTCCGGGCTGAGCCCTTCTTCAGACACTGGTGATCCCTGTCAGTGGGTGCAGGGGGATCTGCCTGGAGCAGGCACTCCATCCCATGGGGATGGGAACCGCCGGTTTGGGTCTAAAAGGATGAAATCCAGCAGTGCCATCAGTGCCGTGAGTCGGGGGCTGCGTTCTCTGCCCGGGGGGGAGGGGATGCTGTTCGTGGGGTGGGCTGAACCCGTGGCAGGGGCTGGAGTGGGTGGAATCCCACCTGGAGCTGTGCTGGTGTCAGCAGTGTTCTCCCAGTGTCATCCTGTAGGACACGGTGCTGTTGCTGGAGCCTGGCAGTGGGAACAGGGGGGTGGGGGATGAATGGGAATGGATTTAGGGGGCTTTAATCTGCCTGTGAGAGGGATCATACCAGCCGGGCTGACCCCGACACCTGCCTCAGGTCCCATCCTCTGCACACTCATCCCTTGGCTCCCAGCCTTCCCACCGGCAGGTTTTGGCTTTATCCCTGATATTTTTTTGCAGCCCCACAGGATTGATGTGCCAGGTGCCACTGGTGGGCAGAGCTGAGACCCTCCAGCACAGCACTACCCATGGCTGGGAGGAGAGTGTATTTGCTGGAGGGAGAAGTGACACGGGAGATTCCTGCCAGCCTCTTGCCTGCCTTAAAATACCCCAACGAGGTGTTAAGTGCAGCTGTTTCCATCTCCAGGGTACAGACATTTATTCTCCCAGCAATGCCAGTCCTTAAATAAGCAGTAAATCCCAACATCTCCGGGCATCACATTCATCCTGCTACTTGCTCCTTCTCCAGGCTTTTAGTTTAACAGCATTTTATCTGTTTTTTTGTGACTTTTCTGCCTTTTTGTCCTATTTTAAGGCATAGGCAGATGATTTATACCAAACCCCACACGAAATCAGCTTTCAGCCCCCTTTTTTCCTCCTTGCAAAATGGGTGCAAGGAGTTTTGGATGTAATTGTTGCTGTGCCGGCCAGCTGCTCTCTGATCCAGAAAATAAAGAGCACAGCCTGTTTCCTGTTAAATTTTGCTGGTTGCATGGGTTTACATTGTTTGTCTCATGTTTTATGGCTTCCAAGCTGATGTTGCATTAAGCTGGCCCGAGTTTAGGCAAGAAATCAAATGCAGGCACTGGCAGGGTTCCCCAAACACATTCACGAGGGTTGATCACATTTTCTTACTCACTGCGGGAGCCTCGCTGTGTCCTGGCCCTTTGCATCGGGGCTGTGCTGGGAAAAGGTGCTTGTTGGGCCATTTGGGAAATTGCTTTGCTGGCTGTGAGGTGTCTCCTGCCTTTCTCTTGACCCAGGAGCTGGTTTTTTTTCATCATAACACTCCTCCCTGTCCTGGTGAGGAGGGGAGTGAGAGCAGCTGGGTGGGTGCCAAGGCCACCCCCCCAAAACCACAGCCTGGGCCATAAATTCATATATATATATTTCTCTGTGTGTATTTTCATAGAATAGGGTATAGAATCATAGAATAGATCAAGTTGAAAGAGACCCCTAAGGATCTTTGAGTCCAATTCCCTGCTCCTCACCTCTACTTGAAACTAAAGCCTGTTACTAAGAGCATCATCCCAGTGCTCCTTGAGCTCTGATGGGCTTGGTGCTGTCACCCCTTCCCTGGGGAGCCTCTCCCAGTGTATTCACGTGTGTAAATATTATATATTGATATGTATATCTGTGTATTATACACACAAAAATGTGTTTTAGGCATAGCAGGGTGAGTTTCTCACATCCCTGCACGGGACCTGCTGTGGGGACTCGGTGCAGATAAACAGGACAGGGCTGGTTTGAGGTGGCACGTTCAGACCTGGCCCCTCAGTGGTTTGGTGTTGTCACCCTTGCTGGCTCTCAGCAAGCCTGTGCCATGAGCTGGGATTGCATCCACACCAAAAAAAACCCACAAAACACTGAAAACAACTGCTTTCCATCCATCCCAGGCTGCCTGAAGGGATTTCTGCCCAAAGGAACCCGAAATATTTGGAACCAGAAGCCCTGATCGAAGGGCAAAAGCTTCCTGCTGGCCACATGAGTGAAGAAAGTTTCTTCCTTGGTTTTACAAGCAGTGTGTTGGCTGGGGAGTTCTGCCCTTTCTGTGCCAGTTCTGGCAGAGAAAGCCTCGGGTTTTTTTTCCTCAGGAAAACAAGAAATAGAGTATTCCTGTAAGACTGAATGGGAGAGGATGTGCAGAAGTTAATAATGGGAAATACAGCGGCCAAATTTGAGAGGTTCCCATGGCAATAGGTGGAGGGGCATTGAGCATTAACTGTAAATATCTATTTTTTTGTGTGTGTGTGTATTTAGAAATGATGGAAAAGCTGTGCAGGGGGTCTTGGAACCAGGATGGGCTGAGTGACTCCTGATTTTTGCCATTTCTGTGCCCTCTCTCTCCATCACAGCTGGAAAATTGCTGTGTTGATGGCTGCTCTCTCTTACTGATTTAGAAGTGCCATTGTAGGGGGATAAGTTCATTATTTGCCTCTGCTGGGCAATTTTTGGTTTCTTAAGGGAAAAAAAAAAAAGGGATTGTCTTTGTTGTGCCCCACATTTTTCACATCAGGGGCCAGAGCTTCAGTAGGTTATTTCTTTGGTGCATTTTATTCTTCTCTGTCCTGCTTTTTTAATTTAACATCTGTTTCATGGTTGAGGGGGGCGTTACCCGGTGATCAGAGCAAGGGACAGGGAGAAAGGAGGTCTGGATTTCATAGCTTGTCTACAATGAATTCATAGTTGTTTTTTGGTGGGTGAAGATTTCAGATGGCCTCCCACCCTCAGGTTCTGCACTTGGGTTTCACCACCCCCACGACTCTTAACCAGTCTGAGGAGTCCATGGCAGCCCCTGTGGAGGGAGAATTCGGGTTTAATTCAGTTTCTCTCAGCTGACAAAATCAAGCCCAGCCACGCAGGAGGCAGGGGATGATAAAAATATCTCACGTGTGGAACAAGGAGCCGTGGTGGGGCTGGGATTTAAACTCTGCCTTGTCTCCCCTTTAAATAGTGTGAATTTTAATGTCACTCGGAGGAAACTCAGAGAAAAGGGCTGCACTGCTTTATTAGCAGAGGTGTTCCTGCAGATGTTTATGTCGTTTTAAGGTTGTTTACACTCCTGTAGCTCCTCGTTGCCTCCATGGAATGCAGGGATGTGTGAGGGGCCCGCCGGGCACTCAGCACAGGCGCTGCTTCCAAACGCCCGTGCCTTGCACGTGATGGAGGTGCCAGTGGATTTAGAGGACAGGGTATTTTTATTTTCAGCGCTGCTGTGGTCGCAAGAGCCAAGTCCTGCAAGACCAGCCAAGCTGGCCAGCTTCTCCCAGAAAAACTCTGCATGAACTGAGCCTCCAGCCCGGGCAGGAGACGATGGCACTGATGGTGCTGATGTCTCACTGCCACCATCCCAACCAGAGGATTTGAAGGCCTTTGATTCCCTGCAAGCAGAGCTCTGTGTCTTTGGCAGCTGGATTTCTTTTACTTGTTTTTCAGATGGTGGGGTCTGTGAGCTGCTCTTTTGCCTCCTTGTGCTGTTTTCCAGACACAGATGAGATAATTTCTTGTCTCCCCGGCATTATAAATAAGCTGATGGATATTTAGCTCACTAAGTGGCCACCACACGTGGTAAAGCTTTACTAACTCAGGACTTGATCCTGCAAACCCCTGGGGATTTCCAGCTATTTAATCTTCATGGGACAAGCCCCACAAAAAATATCTTATCCCAGTTCTCTCGAGGGTCAGCTGAGAGCAGCACACATCACTCAAAGCAAATGCCTTCAGTGCTGTGGTCGTGAGACTTTGTAAAAGCTCCAGCTTAGCCAGTCTCTGTGATACTGGCTTTTTTAAAAAAAATATAGATATTTTCAGGGAAATTTAAAGAAGGGGAAGGAATTAGGCAGTGGCTTGTTCTCAGAGTGTTCCTCCTGCACGCGCCCGTCGTGCCACATCGGCAGCTGTGTGTGAGCCAAGAACATGGGAAGATAACTGGAAAAGAGGAGAGTGTTCCCCCTGCACTGGGACTGGAAAAACAGCTACTTCTGTATGTATTGGATGGCTGGGACTGTCTACCAGCTGGAAAAACCTGAGGACTCTGCACCTCCAGGGGCTCCGACAGCTGGGGGAAAATATCTCCCTGTGAAATAAATCCATCTGATGCCTAAAACACCTCGCCTGCAGTAAGAGGGATGAGAACTGCATGGAGATATTCCTGTGGCCGTGATTGTTTCTCCAGACACGTGGCAAAATCAATTTTCAGCTGTCACGTCTAGGAAGCAGCAGACATGAGATCAGAGATGGGGGACTATGGAGCTATTTATCCCAAAATGCTGCTTTATGGGGTCGGAGCAGAAACCACTTCGATCCTCTCTGAGCCCCAAGTGGGTTAAGGTTGGGTTGTAGCTACCTAAAAACAAAAGGCCATGTTCTCCTGACTTCAGTAACCTCAGCTTAAACCCTGAAATGGTGCTTGCAGCAGAAAAGCCAGCCCTGCTTGGTGATGGAGGGGATCGGGGAAATAAGGGCTCCCAGCTGGGGCTGATGGACAGGTGAGTTTCTGGGGGCTGCAGCACCCAGGTGGTTTGAGCTGGGAGGGTCTGACTCATAAATGGCCCAGACATGTGGCCTGTCCTGGAGCAGGGGGCTGAGCCACTGCAAAGTGTGTCTGGTGTGGCACCAGATCCATGTCAGGCTTTGCCCTCCCAGGGCAGGGGGGAGTGAGTTGAGCTGTTCCTTCTTCAGGCTGGTGCCCTTCCTGGCAGGTAGATGCAGCTGCAGCTTGGGATGGGTGAAGAGCAGATGAGTCCAAACCCTGCATGACCCAGGGATCACTGCCTGGGAGCCCAGGGCAAAGCTGGAGCTGGAGGAGCGATGCTTTCAGGTCTGCACAAGGGTGATGCTGTGCCTGCAGTTCAGGAGGATCCCTGTGCTGGCAGCCGAGGCCTTTTGCAGGTAACCACACCAAGAATGGCACCTTTCTGGTCCCACAGTGATTCCCAGGGCTTAGTTTGGGTGGAACACAGATTGTGTGGCCCTCAAAAGTGCCCAGCAGGGCCCCAGCCATGGGTGCAGGCACCAAGTCTGCACCAGCATCCCCTGGAGAAAACCTTGCTCTGCCAAGGACAAGCTTTGCATGGCCACTGTCATCAGTACACGAGGCA